CTGAATTGAATCAGTTCGATTTTAGGTCTGTTCGATTTTGAAAACGTTCGAATTTGTCGTACCCCCATATTAGGAGGATGACACAATTTCAAAGAATTTTTTTTCAAGATTATTTTTTGATTTTCAGATTCGACACGAAGTAGTCCGAGTAAAATGTGATTGTGAATTTGTATGGTGCTGTAATCTGGTCTGCAAAGACTGTATTCAACATCGTTGGATTTCTACATGTAATGGGACACCACCGAAAAGTTTAATTTTTTAAAAATTATTTGATTCAGTTCATTTATATTCTTTTATTGGTACATTTCTCCCTTTCAATGTTCGTTTTCAATTACGGGTCTTTGTGCTTTTTCTCTTCTTTTTTATGATATGTACAATTCGTCTCTTGTTTTCCTAATTACTTTTTTCCTACTTCAATCTCATCATTTTCTTCTTCGTTTTCCTTGTACGGTGAAGGCGGCGCCCTTCCCTCAATAAATATGCTAATTTATTTTATTCGTGTCGTTTTCCAATCACTTTTCCGTTAAGACGTACGGTACAGCCAAAAAAAAGGAGAATCTCACCGTCAACGGAAATGACACCAACACTTATTTTAGCGTTTGTTTGAGCGAAAGAGATTCGTGTGTTATGTACATTAAAAGGCGACGTCGTTGACATAAGAAACGATGAATGTGTGCCAGAAATATTTGAATTTAGCGACAAACTGGCGTCAATCTCAAGGTGAAACTGCTCAATTCGAAACGGAAGTAATCGATTTAGGTCAAAGCGAAAGGAACCTCTTCATCAATCTTACGCTAAAACATGTGTTTTTTTATTGTCCAACTTTTTATATTAGTGGAAGACTTTTCTCAATTTTAGAAAACTGAAGAGGGGGAATGTGTAACAAGTTGGATTTCAGATTTTATTTTTTTTTTTTGAGATAAAATAAAAAACAGCAGGAAACAGTGTTACATCATCAAGATCGAATGAACAAACCAGATAAAATAGAAAAAAGTGAATCAGTTGCGCATATTCTTGTTGCGAATCAAACTTCGGAACTGCTCTAGAACCGCTTCTTCCTTCTTCTTCTTGGCTTCCATTGAAACACCACTTAGAAGACGCTTTTCCTCTGCTGTCAAAATCTTAAAAAAATGTTGCTTTTCACGAATTAGCGAAACCCATTCACTCACCTGATTCTCTTTTCTCAACCGAGTTGCCTCCATAGCTTTGTGCCTCGATCCAGACATGACATAACCAACTTTTTCATATTCTGCGATCTCACCAGACGACAATCCGATTTCTCCACGCCTAGGAATACGTTCTCCGCGAGCGGCGTATGCAGCCATGCCGGCTCCTTCTCCTTTGAGCAGATCTTTTCCATAATTACCAGGCTTCTCTATCTCGAAAGCCCCTCCTTGATCACGTTGTTTAATATGCTCTGGAAGAATAGGAGTAGGTGACATACTGCCTTCTCTCCATGTTCCGATAGTTCCAGTCACCTTCTCGGGTTGCTTCTCCTCCCATTCCTCTTCAGTATCCGAACGATTATTTTGTTTCCTTTTCAATTCAGCTCTTTCCTTCTTTCTCTGTTCTCGTCTTGCTCGTCGTTCTTCTTTTTCTTTATCAGCCTTCTTACTCTTTTTTTTATCCTTCTTCTTACTCTTCTTACTTTTCTTAGACTTCTTCACTTTTTTACGGTCTTCCTTTTCACTTTCATCTGATTCTGAAGATGTTGATGAATCGTCTTCTGAAACATTCCTCACAGCTCGCATTTCTCTCTTTTTGGCCTTTCGTCTGTCTTCTTTCAACTCTTCTCCTTTCTTCGCATGTTCAGCTTGAATCTCTTCAGCGGCAACTCTTAATTTATAGGTTTCTTGTATCTCCTCCTGACTCGGCGAATGTCCCCAAATTTTCTCAAATCCCATTGCTTGTATCTCAATACGGTCCGACCTTCGTCTAAAAATTTTATGCTATTGGAAAATTTTCATTTAAGGAAAAACTAACGCCAGCCACATTCCTTCTCTTCTTCTCTCTTCTGACTGTTTCCAATTTTCTGGAGACGTCGAACCTGATCTCTGTCGCCTATAGTTTCTTCGTGGTGGGGATTTAGCTCCTGGAGGGTTACTACGACTTCTATCTCTTCTTCTGGTTGGTTGAGGACTTCGAGAGTGTCGCTGACGTCTTCTGGGCGGTGATCGACTTCTGGACGCTCGACCTCGGGAAGGTAAAGGAGAGCCACTTTTGCTGTGTCGTCTTCTTCGAATGGGTGGGGAACGACTTCTTGATATGCGCCTTCTTTTAGGAGAACGATGAGAAAAGTTATTCTTTGATCTTCTAGGAGAAGGGCTCCTACGACGAACGGGGGATGTTCTCCTGTGTCTAGGAGAGTTACTGCGTCGTCGACTAGGAGATAAACTGGGAGCTCGAATCGGTTCGCGTTTACGTTTTGGTGATGGACTTCTCGCTGCAGGTTTTGATGACCGTGATCTGGAACTCAATGCACTGGAACGACTGGAGCTTCGACTTGATGAAGATCTGAAAAGTCTCATTTATATCACTCTGGAGAAATTCGTGGTTACTTTTTCTTAAATTTAAAGCATTTTCAGAAAATAAAATGACTCACTTTTTCTTATTCCACATCGGCTTATCATTGCGAATGCTACCACTTCTGCTTCTGGTTCTTCTTTTTTTGTTCTGTAAAACAATAAAATTTGAGTAATAATTACTATCAGTAAAAACAACAAACCTCTCTTGAAGACGATCGAGAGCTGCTCGAACTGTGTGAGCTATCTTCATAGTCTAAAGCCAGTGACGAGTCGCTCATTATGATTTATATCTGAAGCTTTTCTTGTGTGCTGGGAAATTTAGTCGAAGGAAACACTTTTCGAAAAATTCAATGGAGAATACGAGAATTTTCTATGCGGCGCTGTTGCGTAAGCGAAGACACGCCCATTTAACTACGCCGCAGCGCGCGCGCATACAAATCGAAGGGACGATCCAGCTGTCGAGTTACTTACTGGGGAGTAGAAAACCGAAAAAAAACGTGATTTTCTCATTTTTTGCTTGTTTTATGTTTCTCCATTTTAATAAATCGTACAAGATATTTTGTCTAATGTCAGACTCTTTTTTCAGCCAAGATGGATTCTGATGATGATGGTGACCGTCGCCGCGACAAGTTTGCTAGAGAGCGCCGGGACGATGACAGGTATGCTGGAAAATTTTTTTCAGATATATAATACAAAATTAGGTTTAGCTATAGGAGAAGCGGTGGCGGAGGCGGCGGTTATTCTCGCTATGACAACAAGAGACCAGCAGGAAGAAGAGAGGATTATCAAGTGAAAAGGAGCCGTGGAGAGTGAGTTACTAAAGTTGGTTACTGACTAAAAGTTCTAATTATCTGATTTTTCAGCGAAGGAGACGATGGATTTGATCCAGTCCGTGGTGATCGGAATGGTAACGGTGCCGAGCCGTCATCAGAGAATAGTATTTATTCCGGTCCCTTGTTACCGTTTAAGAGATTCCTTACTAATCAGGAAGATGACATTTCTGAAGAAGATGCAATCAAAAAGTATAATGAGTACAAAAACGAACACAGAAAGTTTCAACTTGACCGGTTTTTCCGTGCTCATAAAGACGAAGAATGGTAAATTTCAGCTTTTGTCGTGGACCTAAATCGAGACCAGAGGCGCATTATGCCGCGGTCAAACATATCAATCGGATTAGTCGAATATTTGTATTTTTATGGCACGGATGCCAGAACCCAACCATTATCCAACCGATTTATTGTATTTGTATTTCGCAATATTCTTCGTCGTCTAAATTTTTCTTCATTTATTATTTCCAGGTTCCGTCTCAAGTACAAGCCGGAAGAGGCTAAGAAGGTCAAAGAGGTTCAATTGGAGAACGTTCAAAAACGTTTGCAGATTTTCAATGAGCTTAAGGAACAAGGACAGTTTGATAAGTTCACCTTGGATTTTGAAGATGCTGAAGCAATCCTTAGAATGTTGGACTCGGGTCAGTTTAGTCAATAACTGGCTAACCTCACAATTACTCATTTTCCAGTGGTCGTTAAACTTGAGAATGGCTCAGAGGACGACTTGAAAGCTGTTTTGGCTCAAAAACTAGACGATGAATCGCTTGCCGATGTTAAAAAAGAAAACAAGGATGCCGCCGAGAAAGTTGAGGATCAAGTGAAGGACGAAGTGAAGGAGGAACCCAATGAAGAGCAGGAAGAAGGCGCGATTGACGATGAAACTGACAAAGCTTCGAACAAGGTCAATATCCATAAAACCTGTTCTGTTTTCTTGAGAAATATCCCGCCAGGGTTGACTTATGAGGAGTTGGAAAGTACGTGCAAGAAGTATCCAGGGTTCCTCCGACTTGCTCTTACTGATGGAATCGCTGAGAGAAGATTTTATAGAAGAGGATGGGCTACTTTCAAGCGGGATGTCAACATCAAAGAAATTTGTTGGGGACTCAATGCACATCGTCTCCGTGAAACTGACCTAAACGCCATCATTAATCGCGATATAACTCGTCGTGTCCGCACCAACAATGGCGTCGCTGCTCATAAACAAGTTGCTCTTAACGACTTAAAACTGGCTGTGAAGCTAACAGCTCTTTATGATAAAAAGCTTGGCTTGTTTAATGCTGCCGATGAATCGGAATCCGATCGCGAAAAGGATATTCGCATGGGAGTTGACCTGGTAGCTGCATCAACCAATCCCCTTGTCAAGGAAATCAAATCCATCGTACCAAAAGATACCTTGAATGACATTAGTGAAGAAGAAGCCGAACTATTGGGGGTTTCGAACGGTGGCGACTCACAATCGGACAAGGTTAGATACGAAAGAGACGATACTATTTTAAAAGCTCTTGATCTTCTCATTATCTATCTTCGTATTGTTCATTCTATTGACTTCTACAATCACGGTCATTATGCTCAAGAGGATTCCATGCCCAACAGATGCGGTCTGATTCATGTACGTGGGCAGCCACCTTCCGGAGCTTCTATAAATACGGATGAGAATGGAGATCTAATTGTTCCACAAAAGTTCATCAATGACTTCATCTCGGGATTCAATTCTCGTATCGACAAAGGGCTAATAGAGAAGCAGTATGTCAGTGAGGAAGATATGGAGAAAATGGGGAAAAAAGATGGCGAAAAGTGAGTTTGTTTTTTCGTGTGCTAGACTAGAAATGTGTATTTCAGAGAAGTTGAAGCTTTTATCGCTATCAACACGGTTGAACTTGCTAAGGATAAATGGCTTTGCCCGTTGTCCGGGAAAAAGTTCAAAGGTCCTGAGTTCATTCGTAAGCATTTACAATCGAAGCATGAAGACAAACTGGAAGAAGCCAGAGCAGAAGCCGACTTCTTCAATAATTATCTGGCGGACGCGCAACGTCCTGTAGATTTGGAGCCCAAACACATGCCCCATATGTCACGCGATGATCACCGTGGTGGAGGTGGTGATCGTGGATACGGAAGAGAACGTGATGACGATAGAGGTCCTGGTGGAGGAAGTAAGAACATTTTTGTTTTACCTCAAGAATAATTATTTTTCAGGAAGCTCTTTTGGCAATGGATCGTATGATAGACGTCCACCATTTCCACCTCGTCACAGTCTCGGAGGACGCGGTGGCGGCGGGCGAATGTTCGATGATGCCCCGCGTCGCCAGCCAGTATCGTACCGGGATTTGGACGCACCCGATGACATCCCATAATTATTATAACCTTCGATTTTATTTATTTTCACACTCGTTCTTGTTTCTTTCAAACAGCTCTATATTGTCTATTCAAAAATAATCGCCACTACCATCTACCAGCACATTTGCCCAGAAGTTTAAAGAACAGGTATGTCAGTTACAGAATAGCTTTTAGTTGACTTATGTGTCATATATTCCTCGAAAAAAGAATAAGTAATTTTTCGAGCTCAAACTGACACAATATCAACGGCAGATTTGCAACTAGTCATGGTTCACATGAACCTGGCTTTACTTTTCTCTGACTACACTTAACAACTGCTGCTATAGTTTCAGCAGTTATATGAAATTAAGATGTGATTAAATGTCCAATTTGCAGGAGGATAGCGTTTTCCA